GGCTTTTACTGTCTCTCTAAAAACTTTCTCTCACTACTCTCTCTCTCTCTCTCTAAAATCTGAAAATTAGCCAAAATCATCCAAAACAAGCTCCAAATCACTAAGGTAACTTCCCTAACTCATGAATTAGCATCTTAGACCTTCAAATTCGAAATTTTTATGAGGAATGAGACCATAAACAAGTGTCTACGGTCTAGGAACCTCCTTAGGCCGTGAACACCTCATATGAGGGTTTTGAAGCCTCAAAACCCCTCCAAGACACTTCTAAGGCTTAGATTCGGCCTAGAAACTTGCATGCATGAGCTTAGGACCCCAAAATCGTATCATATGATGTATGGACATGAGTTTACGGCCCAAGCATGTTCTTGGACCGTAAAACCTCATTCATGGACCACAAACTCATGTTAATGAGTCAAAATGCCCTTAAACACCTTCAAAATACTTCCATGGGAGTGTAGAACCTGATAAACCTTCATGTGATGCACCAAATCATCATCAGATGGGATAAACTTGAGTTTATGGACCAAGAACATTCTTGGACCGTAAACCCACCTCCTTAGGACGTAAACACCCCTCAAAGGGTGTTAAGGTGCCTTTAACCCCTTGAATAGCTTGGATATGGACCTAGAATCACATGTGATTAACCTACAACAACCAAAGCCCTTCATTCTTTGACAAACATGAGTTTACGGTTGTAAACTCGTGAGTTTAAGGTAGTAAACTCCCCAAGAACATCTCCTTAGACCGTAAACTCATTTCCAAGGCCATTTTAAGTCCCGATCACTTCCTAAGCCATGGAATCGACCCTAGAACCTTCCCGTTGCATTGTATGACCATTTGGCATCCAAGAACCCACCACCCATGAGTTTACGACTATAAAATCATGGGCATAAGGTCAATGGGCCGTAAACTCCTCACGGAGTTTACTCTTGAAGAGTAAACTCGATATTTAGGCCCTACACACCCTTAGATGCTACCCGGATCACTCCTAACACTTGAATTGAAGTGTTTTCACGTCTTGGAGTGCATATTCATGTCTAATTAGTAGTTCAAAGTCTAATTAGATACAATTTCATATCATTTCATTTTACATAGGAACCTCGCGCGTAATCAAGCCCCGAACCGTCACATAGCATCCAAACTGTCGTGTTTTCTCGTCTGGTGTGTTCATAACCCTACCCATTTCCACTGTTTTCACTGTTTTCAGGGGGAATACAAGCAAAGTACAATTGATACTTGTACTCAAAACTTGTTTTATATACATTTTGTTTCATACTATATATGCTTTTAACACTGACACTCGTAACAAACAATCGTTTGAACTTACAGGACACGCTATCATGTTATTTGTGAATTACATTATAAATTGTTGTATTTATATTTTCACAAATGTTTTCCTACAATATAACAGTTAAAAGCATAACATTTGAACATGGTTTTGTCCTCGGTAACACTTCACAGAGATACGCAAGTGGAGGATAGTCAATTAATCTTTCAGTATTATTACTAGTAAATTTGTTAATCCTATAATTGGAGACACGTCCTCGGTGAACACTCCACAGAGATACGCGAGTGGAGGACCGCCCCCGTAACCAGAATCTCTTAGATAGGGAGCGTGACTTGAGTGTATAGATCTATACGGGGCTGACTACCCCGCACCTGGCTGCTAGCTACAACCGAATCGAAAGGTTCAAGGGTGACGGAAGTCATATAGGGTGATGGACTATTTATTGCCCTAATTAGTCTATTGTATGGTTATGGAACTCGCAATTTGGATAACAGAGATTTACATATTAGTAATAATGGGTTAAGTAACTAGTTTACTTGATATTTATTAGTTTTATAAACGTGTTAAAACTAATACATTTTCAGTGTACATCTTTTACTTTACATTTCGGGTTGGTAAACTAACACGTAGTTTACAAGGATAACCAGGTTTTCAGTATACATCTTTCACATTAGAAAAATATGGGATTTTCCTGGGATCAAAGTTAAACATAACCAGAACCGTGTAACATAATAGTTAACCAAACATTACTTTTAAGAAAATATTGGATTTTCTTGGGTCGTAACATTTCCAGAAACCAAAAGGAAATTCATACATTTTCATAAAACAAAAACTGCTTATGAACTCACCAGCTTTATACTGATTTTTAAAATGCTTGTATTCTCAGGTCCACATTAGACAGGTACTCGATGATCCATTTTGGTGAAGACGGTGTGCGTAGAAGATACGTCTTGTTTTTGTTCATATATACTATGTAATACAAATGTAAAACTTTACTTTTGAACAAATGTAAATTTCTATATGTAATGTAATGGTTGTTTACTTTGATTACTATGTGCATTGGATTTGATACTCAACGTGGAGTCCGCCCCGAAAATGTTTTCACCTTCGGTTTTCGGGGTGTGACAAAACCATTGGTATTTCGTAGCTATTTTGTAGCTACCTTCTTTCGTGGGATATCCGTAGTTATTGTATAGCTAATTACCTACGGATTTACTTCTGTCATTAATCTGTAGCTATTGCGTAAGTAATTACCTACGGAATAGCTACGGATTCACTTCTGTCGCTATTACATAGCTATTCCGTTACTAAATTAGGGCATCCCATTCCGTAGGTAATTAGCTACGAAAATTTTCCGGAGCTGTTTTCATGTAGCAAAACACATTTTTTCTAGTAGTATGTGTGTGTGTGTGTGTGTGTGTATATATATATTATTTTATTTTATTTTATTTTGTCAATGTAATCAATGAGATGGAAATTATACTAGCTATAGTTCACAATGGTGAATTAGGCTATACTCATTTCAATAGATTTTCAACTTAGATACATTTAAACCAAAGCTCTGAAAAAAACCATTTCCAAATTTTTTGTAACAAGATGCTGTTTGTGATGTTCACAGTTTAACTTGAGAAAAAGTGTTGAGATCCAAAAGCTTGCTTGCCTAAGATACTTGTTGATCAATCTAGATACGTACGCTTATTAGATTTGAATTTAAATGTGACCTTAGAATGTGAGAAACTTAGCTATAAATACTTGTGTACTAACCTTTCAAACTCCGAATAAAGAGAACAATTTTCACTTCAAAGTTATTACTAAAAGTTTATGTATTCTACTTTATAGGCTGACGAGTATTCTAGTTGTTAAAATCTTAAACAAGTATTGGTTATTCGTAATATTTTTGTTCAACAGCATTAACATTAATTAATGAGAAACAAGCATGGTGATAGACTGATAGCCTGATAAGTCTACATGATATTGGTTCATTCCTATTTTGGTTAAGGGAAAATGACTTAAAAAGGTAACGAAGTTTCAAAAGTGTACAAAAAAGATCATTGTTGTTTTTTTTTTGTACGCAAAATACCATTTTACCGGTTATTATAGGTTATCCGGTTTCCAAATGTTCAAAAAATACCATTGTTGTTTTTTTAGTACAAAAAATACCATTAATGTTAATATTTGTACACAGAATACTAACAAAATACACATGTGTTCAACTAAAACATTGTGGTAACCAAGTACTTCAGATAAATGGGATGAAAAGAGCGTAATCAGCAATTGCTTATTTAATTTTTGTTGAAATTGTTGGAAAAGATCTTACTTCCACAATATGATCTGTCGAACAAGATTACTAGTGACGCTTCGGCTGGCAAATTTTTCTTCAAATCGGTGATGAGAAGAGCGTAATCAACAAGTGTTTGTTCGGCTGTTAGATAGACTAAAGTAGAAGCGTTCTTGTATGCCTCTTTCTGGCTTCCATATGACATCGATTCACCATAATATCGATGCTAGATCAAATCACGCAGCTTTTGATAAAATTGTATTATTAAAGGTCTGCAAGTGAAGAAATTATTGTAGAGTAGAGTGATTAGGGCTTTTACTTCGGGGAAGATGACCATGGCACCAAAACGGGGGGCGAGTTCCCAAACGAAGTCGGTGTTGACAGTGAACCATTCAATGTCGCCTTCGTTGCCGCAATAAAGGAAGATTGGGCCCAAACGATTAGGGTCTGGGTCCACCCATTGATCGAAGTTGATGAGATAACGTTGTTAGAACTTGGGAAGGTCATTGAAGTTGAAATGATCAAGAGTCTGATCAAAGTATCGTGTCTTGTAAGTGTACTTCGGCTGAACAAGAATGTTTTGGGTTTTGAAGCCGTGGGGATTTGCCGAGAAACGGAGGTGGCCGGTGAGATTCCGGCGTTGATGAAAGTAGGCAAATGATTAGGAGGAAGAATTAGAAAAAGGGTTTTGCCATGGTGGTGGAGGGTGGCGATGAAGAACAGTAGTGACCGAAGTGAAGTGGATGGTTCTTTATAAAAAGTAGCTATATTTCCATTACATTCAAAGAAGAAAAAATGACTTAAAAAGGTAATGAACTTTCAAAAATATACATAAAAAAACCATTGTTTTTTTTTGTACACAAAATACCATTTATCAGCAACTGTAGGTTACCCACAAAGTTTTATTTAAACAAATGTGTACTTCATTGGTATTTTGTGTATAAAAAATATACTTTAATGATATTTTGAATACTAAAAATAAAATAATTATATTTTTTTTATATATTTTTAAAATTTCATTACTTTTTTAAGTAATTTTCTCTTTGGTCAATCGCAAATATTAAACCACTTAAGCGAGTTAGGTAGGAAGATGTAGAATAATAGTTAATCAACCCAACATATATTTAATATATAATATTATGTAGATTTCCATTTAATTACTAACATTAGTTATTGCCCATTAATTAATAATTACTTTTTGAATTTAAATCATTCGTATAGTTTTATATTATTGAATCAACCAATTATAATACTCAAACACTTGTATATATATAATAATTTTCCTGCATGTAAAACGATGTACTCATCAAGTACTGGCTTGTTTATAATAATTATTTTGCAAACCAGCTTCCAACGCCTAGATCCATATTTCACGGACATTTCCCTATATAATAGGAGGTCATTAGAGAATTTTAACCACACCACCAATAGATCATGGCTTCCCTTAGCTTGTCCACTCTTCCCACCTCCAGCCCCACAAAAAAGCCTTTATTTTCCAAAACCTCCTCCCACGTGAAGCAATCCCATCGCTTCAAAGTCTCATGCAACTCTGCCGCTAACAACAATGAGAAAACAGTCAAAAACTCTGAAACCCCGAAGCTCATACTACCCAAAACATCACTTGAAATGCAGAACGTTGACCGGAGAAACCTGCTCCTGGGGCTTGGAGGTCTCTACGGCGCTGCCAACTTGACATCCATCCCGTCAGCCTTTGGCACTCCCATCGCTGCTCCGGACAATATTTCAGATTGTGTTACTGCGTCGTCAAACCTCCAGAACGCCAATGACGCTGTAAGGGGTTTAGCTTGTTGCCCTCCAGTCCTCTCAACAGATAAACCAAAAGATTACGTCTTGCCTACCAACCCAGTGCTTCGTGTTCGACCAGCTGCACAGAGAGCTACTGACGAGTACATCGTAAAGTACAAAGCAGCGATTCAAGCCATGAAGAATCTCCCCGACGATCATCCACACAGTTGGAAGCAACAAGCTAAGATCCACTGCGCTTATTGCAACGGTGGTTACAATCAAGAACAGAGTGGTTTCCCAGACATACAACTCCAGATTCACAACACATGGCTCTTCTTTCCTTTCCACCGATGGTACCTCTACTTCTACGAGAGGATTTTGGGGAAGTTGATTAATGATCCAACTTTCGCTTTACCATACTGGAACTGGGATAACCCTACCGGAATGGTGCTTCCTGCCATGTTCGAAACCGACGGCAAAAGGAACCCTATCTTTGACCCTTACAGGAATGCGACACACCTCCCACCAGCTATCTTTGAAGTGGGATATAATGGGACAGACAGTGGCGCCACTTGTATAGACCAGATAAGCGCTAATCTGTCTTTGATGTACAAGCAAATGATCACCAACGCTCCTGATACAACAACGTTCTTCGGTGGAGAATTTGTTGCTGGGGATGACCCTCTTAACAAAGAGTTTAACGTTGCTGGGTCCATAGAGGCTGGGGTTCACACTGCGGCGCATAGATGGGTGGGTGATCCTAGGATGGCCAACAGCGAGGACATGGGAAACTTTTACTCCGCCGGGTATGACCCTCTCTTTTACGTCCACCATGCCAACGTCGACCGGATGTGGAAAATCTGGAAAGATTTGGGAATCAAGGGACACACTGAACCGACGTCTACCGACTGGCTAGATGCTTCATACGTGTTTTATGATGAGAACGAAGAGCTTGTACGTGTCTATAACCGAGACAGTGTAAACATGACTGCAATGGGATACGACTATGAAAGGTCCGAAATCCCGTGGCTCCATAGTCGATCGGTTCCACATACCAAGGGGGCCAATGTTGCAGCTAAACTGGTCGGAATCGTGAAGAAGGTGGAAGACGTTACATTCCCGTTGAAGTTAAATGAGACAGTGAAGGTTCTTGTGAAAAGGCCTACTAAGAAGAGGAACAAGAAGAACAAGGAGGAAGCGAATGAGATGTTGTTCTTGAATAAAATCAAGTTCGATGGTGAGGAGTTTGTCAAGTTTGACGTGTTTGTCAATGACGTTGACGATGGAGTGGAGACTACCGCAGCTGAGAGTGAGTTTGCTGGTAGTTTCTCACAATTGCCCCATGGCCATAAACATGGCACCAAGATGTCAATGACGAGTGGAGCGGCGTTTGGGCTCACGGAGCTGTTGGAGGACATTGAAGCTGAAGATGATGACTCTATTTTGGTGACTTTGGTGCCCAAGATAGGGTGTGATGATGTAACTGTCGGCGAGATTAAGATTAAGTTGGTTCCCATTGTCTGAGGTTCATTGATGTAGCATCGTTTTCATTTGCATTTGTATGCATGGGTAAAACAGCTTTCTGTGTTTGGTCATACGAGGATGTTTGTGGTTCTCGTAATCTAATAAGGACCATTTTGTCAAGTTTGTTGTCATGCAACCTTTTGTTAATCATATGCTTGATTGTAACTCCTATGTTTGGATATCAATAAACATTATCGAGTACTATTGTAGTAACGCTTTCTTCTTGTTTCGAAAAAGCTCCATTTATTGTCCACTTTCTCCCTACATTATGTTTTCTATTCGTGAAATAAATAATCTACTTATTATATATAGATAATCAATTGCCATTTCAAACATAACAGGTCAGAGAAAACGATCTGCAGCATGCTTTCAGATTAAAATATTTGATATCATTATTCTAAAACCAAACCATAAACGTGGATCTCGATATCCCTATTTGTTTTTTCGAAAATACTCTTTAACGATTATTTTACAAGCCACCACGCCCCAACATATGTTTAGGCAAATCCTACCTACCACGTTTTTTTTTTTTACAAATGTGTAATTACGAACTTTAATTTCGGAAAGTACCTACAAATACAATTAATTTTTTTAACTTATCAATTAGTTTTAGCAAATATCATTTCTAATCGACTAGCTTTTCAGTTATCAAATAATTTTTCATACAACCATGAGTTTTTCAGTTAATACGTTAAACTAACTTAATTGTCACACTAACCACAATTCAAATCTTTATCGTTGCTAGGATGTTAATGAAATTGGATCGAGGGGTGGATATGGACACAATAGGTGTTGCATGGTGACACGGACAATCCTTTAAATTTTACTGTAAAGTACTAAACTTTGTGTAAATTCGTTAAAATCCGTCACACAACTCGTTCTGAATCCGTTACAAAGTCCTAATAAGTGTAAATATGAAGTTAATAAATTATTCTTTAACCCTTAAAATAATTAAAACCCAGTCTTTTTTCTACGTTCACCACTAATTGGATAAGATTAAAGAACTGATTCGATAGTCTTAAATTGATCAGAAGTATAATTATAAATGATATCAAATATCATATGTTATTATTAAACATGTGTATCTCGATTTGGGTATCTTGATAGGGATGTTTATCATTTTATAATTGAAAGGCAACTGTATGTGTCTAGAAAATCCAAAAGCATCTACATTAAACGTAGTTGGTTTTAAAAACGTGAATATAATATTACTATTACCTGTTGAAAATATGGGTTGTAAACAAGGATGTATTGACGATCAATTTTTTTGGTTGACCAGAATATCCTATGTTCACTTACTTTGAAATTAATTTGCCTTCAATGTTTGGATTACCACATATAATTTCTCAAGATCTTACCGGTTTAAAAAAGTGATATATTGTAAATATTGATCCTTATTTTCTCCGAAATATAGATAAACATATTTTCGAAAATCAAAAGAAGTTACAAACATTTATATGTTCGTGAAAGTGACTAAGGCCATCTCCAATTATTAAACCTTTGGAGAGAACGTATACATTCATTTAAATTCTTAAAAAATTCATAAATTTCCAGTATACATTCATTTAAATTCTTAAAAAATTCATAAATTTCCATTACAAATCCATTGAACCATTGTATGGTCATTTAACTCTACACTCTCTCTCCTCTTTATTATATTCATATTTATTCTATTAAACCCTCATAGAACTCCCATTGTGAATGGCCTAAGTGTAACGACCCAAAAATCACGACCAAAAATTTCTTTAAAAGCATTACTAGAATCGTATTTATAAAAACTGTATCATAAGTCATAACATAAATTCTCGAGTATTAATTCAAAACATAATATCATTATCAGAGTCGAACATTCCCAGGCTAACTGACTATGGTGTGTGCACTGCAATCTCCCCGAGCTCCTCTTTTGAAAACTGGGTACCTGAAACCAAAACTGAAAACCGTAAGCACGAAGCTTAGTGAGCTCCCCCAATTTAACACATACCATACAAAAACATATAAAGCACATACTGGGCCTTGCCCACTGCATCGGACCAATGTCCGGACTAATTGGGGCCTTGCCCCCTACATCGGACCGAAGTCCGGAAACTGACTGGGACCTTGTCCCCTGCATCGGACCGGAGTCCGGACTAACTAGGGCCTTGCCCCCTGCATCGGACCGAAGTCCGGAGACTGACTGGGACCTTGTCCCCTGCATCGGACCGAAGTCCGGGCTAACTGGGGCCTTGCCCCCTGCATCGGACCGAAGTCCGGAGACTGACTGGGACCTTGTCCCCTACATCGGACCGAAGTCCGGGCTAACTGGGGCCTTGCCCCTTGCATCGGACCGTAGTCCGGAGACTGACTGGGACCTTGTCCCCTGCATCGGACCGAAGTCCGGCTAACTGGCTGAACATAACATAGCATAACATATCCACTAGCATGAACACATATACTGCATACTACATCGGGCCGTAGCCCGGAACACATAACACATAACACATAAAACATAGCACATAAATCCTGTCTGAGCCACGAAGGCATCAAACATACTACTACTGCATCGGGCCGAAGTCCGGAAACTACTGCTAACTGGGCGGGCCGACATTGTGGCCTTAGACCCGTCCCTACTGGAAGGAAACTCACCTGAGACTGCTGAACCCTACTGATAAGTCTCTGGCTGCTACTCGACAATCCCTTGATCCGCTGCTCCTCCAGCTCTCCGAGCTATCAATATACATATAACACTTAGTCTGACAGTCAACTAAGTCAACTCTGGTCAAAGTCAACCTTCCAGGTCAACCCTACTCGCCGAGTCTTCCTAAAGACTCGCCGAGTTCATAACTCAGGGTCTTTCTTATTCGCGCCCCGACTCGCCGAGTCAGTCCATGACTCGCCGAGTCCAACCAGTTCCAAGTCTTGTCCTGTCCAACTCGCTAAGTCACCACCCGACTCACTGATTCGGGTCTCGACTCGAAGGGTTCAGGGTTTTCGCGATCTTACTCGCCGAGTCCAAGAACAGACTCGCCGAGTCCTAGATAATCTTCAACCAACTCGCCGAGTTGCTCATCCAACTCGCCGAGTCCATGCCTAACTTCATCCGACTCGACGAGTTGTTCATCCTACTCGTCGAGTTCCTCCTCATCTTCAAGCTACTCGCCGAGTCCACTCGAAGGACTCGCTGAGTCCATTCGGTTCTACATACATGCAGAGGACCTTTGAGTCATGCATGGACTCCAAACTGTAGATCCACTCTTTTAAGGTCTATTCCTTACGTAAAGTTGCAAACTTTACGTGTAGAGAAGGAGATCTAAGCAAGATACGCCATTAACTAGGGTGTAAGGCCAAGGGACTTCAAAATCAACACAATGACTGATACTTTATGCTTCTCCAGGCCCTAAAACTCTTGAATCTGAAGTAGCAACTCCAGATCCGGCTTCTAACCCAAAATAATAACATTATAGCAAAAGAGCCCCAATAACCACACATAGATCTAGGTGCAAAAAGGGTCCAGGAACTAGTTTATTACCTCCGAGTGCTCAAAATGAACTCACAATCCCAGATCTATAGCTCCTTCTTGCTCCTCCAAGTTCCTTCTTCCTTTTCCAAGCTTTAAAGCACCTTCCAAGGCTCAACTAGGAGATATGACGGCTAGGGTTTGATATCCAGGGCTAAAGAGGCAGTAAGGAACCCTAGGAAGAAGATTAAGACATTTATTTAGGCCCCAAGTCCCGAATTTAGGGTTTTCCACGTACAGACCAGACTCGCCGAGTCACCCTAGTCGACTCGCCGAGTCGGTCACTTACTCCCCGACCCGGATCCCGCTCGGACTCGCCGAGTCCCTCCTTAGACTCGCCGAGTCGACCCCTAAACTTAGGCTTTTCTTTCGTTTCTTGGTCTTCGAAACTTTGGGTGTTACAACTCTCCCCCACTTAAACTAAACTTCGTCCTCGAAGTCTGCTATGTCCCACTGCCTGCGAGCTGCCTCTAAACCCAACCAACTATTCCAACACCAGCTGCCTACCCTTGTTGGCTTTTGCTCGATCCTTCCGACTAACCTTAATCCCTACAGATAACACCTCGGGTCAACCCTGACCCTGAACATCCTGGAGACCCAACTTACTCAACTGGCAATCCTTCTGGTACTCACCGAGTACTAAACTGAACCTATAGGGGTTCGCCCCTTCCTGTCCTTGCGCAAATCCCTTGCCTTCCCAAGGCAAGGTTCTATAACCAACTATTTCTCTGTAACTGTGAAGGTCCTATACTTCACCAACTCCATCACCCCCGCCAATTCCAGTACGGGTCAATACCGCCAACAACCACCGACGCCCTTATCTGACATAACTTGGTGCCGAGCACCCCCGGTCCTTACTGACGTCTCCATATTTGGGTTACCGAACCCTACCGGTTACTACACCCCTTCGCAATCTCCTAGTTGCTTCCAGCGACTCCTGAAAATACTTCGACTATCTATAACTGTTCTATCCATTCTTCCGCTCATACTGAAACGATGTTGCTGGGAATAGCTTGCTTATATCCCATCTGATTACTCAACTCCTACTAACTCGAGTCTTTCATCCCGAAGAAAAGCTACTTGCCTAGCTATCTTTACATGTCACTTATACTCGGCCGAAGGCTCAACTGATCCTGCTGAGAGAGACTTGCCATTTCCACATCAACCAACTATACCGTCCACACTAGTATTCCAACTCAAATACAATACTGACCCAAAACTCCGAAACCTTTCAAACACTGAATTGTCTGCAATACCGAACCTGCCTGAAACACTAAACTACCTGAAACGCTGATCTGGCTGAACCACTGAACTGCCTGAGACACTGAGTTGGCCGAAACACTGAGCTGCCTGAAACACTAAACTGGCTGAAACACTGAGCTGCCTGAAACACTAAACTGGCTGAAACACTGAGCTGCCTGAAACACTAAACTGGCTGAAACACTGAGCTGCCTGAAACACTAAACTGGCTGAAACACTGAGCTGCCTGAAACACTAAACTGGCTGA